AAGCTCTCTTGAGGCATTTGCTACAGTAATGAGAAGTGGTATTTTATCAAGGCCAGGTTACTAAATTTGAGTTGGCAATATTAGAACCCGCCGTGGCACCTCCAAGAAGGTTACACGTTCACGCGCCGTATACCTGGAACCATTTTAAGGTAAACTTAGAGGGATTGATATCTTTCGTATGCCTAGCGCGCAGACGAGATTTTATAACTTCATAGTTTTAAACGGCCTAAATACCTTAACTCACTTAAAAAATAACGAGCTATAACGAAATGGGCACAGAAATAAAATCTAACATCATTAAATTATTTTTCATATTTGTATAAAAGCGCGGGGTGAAACCCGCGGGTACAAGCTAGTATGTACATAAATATGTACTTTGTTAAGGACTGAATTTGTTGTTTTTGTTCTTTTTATTAAAAAACTATTTATAATAAAAATGGTTCTTATTGCTTTTGCATTATAAAAATCGTATTTTCATTTATTTTATTCATTTGTTTTCCAATTTTATTTAATTGTTTATTTTTAATTAATTTTATTAAAAAATACATAGCCGATAGCCCCAGCAGCTAGCGCTAACTTACTATTTAAATTTATGTGGAATTTGTTCGCAGAATTCTATAAGTTCAGCCCGATATCGCTTCGTACTCTCTGCGCTGCATTTATATACTGCGGTTGTGTTAAAGCGTTTTGCTCGCTGAAATCTGCTTTGTAATGTATACAAATGTTGTGTATTGCACAACAAACATTGACAATTTTTGCCGCCTTCTTTGGAGTGTAATGGAGCTCTCTCGCACCGAGAAGACACCTCCATCTACCCTTTAACACACCATTTGTGCGTTCAATTACGTTGCGGCACTTCGAGTGCACTTCATTAAATCTACTTTCAGTAGAGCCTTCGTTTGGAACCCTGTGTGGTGTCAAGAGCCATGGCTCTAAAGGGCAACCAGCATCTCCTGTTAAAATTTGTTATAATATTAATTATAAGCAATATTTATATTTTTTTTTTAATTTTAAAGTTTTTACCTAGTAGCCAAAAGTTGGTTACTCCTCGCAAGTAATCCTGCTCAAAGTGTGCTCTTAAATCACTTGTATTCCAAATAAAGGAATCGTGGGAAGCACCGGGGTGGGATGCATCCACGTAGCGGACTTTTAGTTCATGATCACAGAGCTGTAAAAAGTGAATACCTATGTAATAAAAAATCGACATCTATTGAAAAAACTTACAAGCATCACATTTAAACTGTATTTTCCCTTTCTATTATAGTAAAGATGTTTATTTTCAGTGGGTGCTATGATTCGCACATGCGTTCCATCAATGCATCCCATTACACCGGGAAAGCCATGCCTTACATATAAAGCTTGGCAATTTTTCTTTTTTCTTCGGCTGTCTTTGCTACTTGAATCCACTTTGGGCACAGATGCTTCTCAAAGATTTCCAGCACTTCAGTAAGAATTTTGCTTAAACTAGACTGTGCTAGGGAAACGTCGTGGTCTTTACCGACTCCCGTTTGGTAGCCACCTTCAGCAAAGAAGCGCAATACTCCACTCAGCTTTACTATGGGGGAAACGGCGAACTGCTTTTTGGCTGGCTGAACGTGCGTCGTCAAAACTTCCAACAAATATTGAAACGGGGCCTTATTTACCCTATAATATTTCACAAATCTAAAGAAATAACACTTAGTAAAAGTACAAAAAAATACATTTTTTATTTACAAGGAGTCCGGCAATTCTAGCGGATTCGCCTGGTCACGCAAATTTCTTCTTGCTACTTTTGGTGGTACCATTTCTTGCTCCTCTTCGTTCATTAAAAGCCGGAAAGCAATGCTAAACATGTTTTTTTATCGAAAATTTACACTTTTACGAGAATTTCTGTAAACGCAGTTAATATTTACATTTGATTTGAAATGTNAAGCAATGCTAAACATGTTTTTTTATCGAAAATTTACACTTTTACGAGAATTTCTGTAAACGCAGTTAATATTTACATTTGATTTGAAATGTAAAAGCGAGCAAACAGCTGATTTCGAAAATTCGAAGTTCTTTTCCCTAATTCTGCTTTTCCCGGTAAGTATGGAATAGGATTTTTTTTTTTGGGAAAAATTTGCTCGGGGAAAAAATTCTGGAGAATATTCAGCATCGGGCTGTATGTGCATACATCTATTAATTTTATATATAAAAGAATAAATTGCATTCAGTGCATTTCACAGTCTTATTTATAGATAATGTAAACAAAAACGCCTGGACTTCCACTTTGAAAACGTCGCGCAATATCCCTTTTGGTTGCCAATATTTGAGCCAATTTTTCGTATTGCCCATATTACCGCTCGCGAAAACACAGAAATCGAGAAAATTCATTTATGATGACTTTTACAATCATGCACAGTATATTTTACTTACATTTTTTATAAAATTTTATTACTTAAACCCACGAAAATAACAATTGAAATGTTCTCCGTCAACAAATTTGCAACTTAGTAAAACGGAACTACGATCGAAATGTAAAATAGGTATAATCGTAAATTTCGAAGAATGATCGAAAGGAAACGGAACGCAGAATACCAAAGATGCCAAACGGAGAAAATTTCGATTCGAGTCGAAATGCAGAATAGGGCTGACTATCGGCGCAACTATCTCTATTTGTTGCAATTTCATTTGTTTACATTTATCAGCTGTTCAATCGGCAGCATATTTATCAAGCCGTTTCTAAGACGTAATTGTTGGATTCAACAGTTGCCAGCAGTTTCGTAGCAGATGAGCTAAACAGCTACGTCTTATGAACGCGCCGATTATCACACTAAAATTGAAACGGCTATAAAGCTTAATACTCAAAAAAAATTTAGCACTTCTGAGTAAATAAATTTGAAATTTGAATGAAAATTAGATGATGTTTTTTTTTAGATTTCTACAAAATTTTAAGCGCGGGTTTACATGGTTTTTTTAAATGAACTTTATTTTAGTTGAAATTGAACATACTGAAAACAAAATTTCAATGGTTAACCATAAAACAATATGAATTGCATAAAGCTTAAAGGGGAAAAATGCCTTTAAAAAAAGGAAAGTGGATGATCTCCAGCAAATGATCACTAAACGCTATATACCGTCTGAATTTCATGAATTTTATAATAGAATTATAGAAATATAAAATAAGCTCTTGAATTTCCAATATAAATTATGCCTTTATGATTTAGTTTAAACCCTAAATGTGCTACTCTTCCACGCAAATAGTGAAATGTGCTACTATTCCACGCGAAAATCTGAAATGTGCTAGTCTTCCACGCAAAAATCTGAAATGTGCTACTCTTCCACGCAAAAATCTGAAATGTGCTAGTCTTCCACGCAAATAGTGAAATGTGCTACGCTTCCACGCAAAAATCTGAAATTGGCTTTCCTTTATGGCCGTTCGTTAAAGGGGCGGTGGGCGTATGACCTCTAACCCACCTTTTTGGAGAGGGAATGAACCGCCATTGACAAAAATGCAGACCCCGACCACCTAGGTCCCCTATGGTTCCCTAGGGACCTCTTAGAAAAATTGTCAAAAATCACGATTTTCATTTGCGTTTATTTGCTTGAAAAATGTTAAATATTCATTTGCACAATACATTTCTATATACACATTTTTATATACAAGATATTTTTATAAAACACCCAGTAACCAAAATAGACATCACTGGGGCGGCAGCCCCAGGTTTACCACACAGAAAGGCAATTCTTGGTACCTCATCCTTTTCCAAGGTTACATCACTGGGGCGGTAGCCCCAGTTAGGTCACACAGAAAGGAGAATTCTACGTAGTAAGGGTTATAATCCCTATGCGCGGCCGAAGGCCGCCTACGCAGAAAGGAATTCTACGCAAAAATACTGTGGACGCAAGAAACATTGCGATGTTTGGCCATTTTCTAAGGGGTCCGTAGGGAACCATAGGGGGCCTAGGTGGTCGGGGGTTGCATTTTTGTCAATGGCGGTTCATGCTCTCTCCAAAAAGGTCGGTTGGAGGTGCCACGCCCACTCCCCCTTCGCCCACCGCACCTTTAACGAACGGCCACGGAAAGTTTCCCCCTGAAATGTGCTACTCTTCCACGCAAAATTCTGAAATGTGCTATTCTTCTACGCGAATAGTGAAATGTGCTATTCTTCCACGCGAATAGTGAAATGTGCTAGTCTTCCACGCGAAAATCTGAAATGTGCTACTTTTCGACGCGATTAATCAGCCCTATTCTGCATTTCGACTCGAATCGAAATTTTCTCCGTTTGGCAACTTTGATATTCTGCGTTCCGTTTCCTTTCGATCAATCAATTTACGATTATACCTATTCTACATTTCGATCATAAGCAGTGTTTGCATTATTCAACTTTGCGTTCAACAATTGCGTTCAACTCAACGCAGGGTTGCACGAAAAAAAAGTTGAATGGCTAAATGTTGGCTGGCGACCAACTTTGTTGAAAGCGATTAGTTGAAAGGCCATTCAACCAAAAGTTGAATGCAAAGTTGAACAATGCAAACACCTTTTTATGGCGAATATTTTGATATTTTTTCATATTTTGATATTTTTAGCCATTCAACTTTTTTTCGTGCAACCCTGCGCTGAGTTGAACGCAAATGTTGAACGCAAAGTTGAACAATGCAAACACACTT